TTTTTCTTGGTTATGGTTTGGAAATCCTTGGCCATTTTTCTTTTTTGCTTTATAGGATTAATTAATTAATTTTTTGTTGCACTAGGTATTTTAAAAAATTATTACAAACCAACATAAAATTTATTTATTTTTTGTATCTTGCAATATATTTAACATTTTAATTTGTATTCTCTTATATGAACTAATTTTTGCACACTTGAAGAAAGGGAAGTAAAAGGGTAGTAAATTTTTATCTTAGTTGAAATGTGGATAGAAGGCAACTGCGCACTCCTACAGTATATAGGAAAGTAAATTTTTATTTAGGGAAAAAGGAAAAAAAGATTAATTTGCTTGCAAGCAACGCCTAAACCTAGGAAAAATAGTTTCTAAATTTCCTTCCAATTAGGGTGTATAAATGTGCCTCATGAGATGGTCTTTCGGCTGCCAAACAAATTTCTCTTTCAGTTTTTAATATAGTGTTCTTAATAGAGTTTGACAGTTGTTGTTGTTGAGAGTGCATTTCAGTTAGCGATGGATTTAGAAGCATTGTTTCTAAACAATTTTGCCATAGAGAAGAAGCCAAATATTTTTAAGTTGATTAAAGCAGCCATACACGTTGGTACATGGAAGTACCCTACAAAGTTTAAGAAGCACAAGGATGAAATACTGATGATGTTGCTGAATCCAGAAAAACCAGGGATCAGTGATGAAATCGACAGTGCTAGTGATGAAGAAGAAGATGAAGTTATCGACAGTGCTAGTGATGAAGAAATCGATATTGGTGATGGTGATGAGTTCTCTGTTGATGATACTGAGAAGAGTTGTTCTAGGTTTCAAGAAACAGGCCATATTCTTGGGCGACAAGGGAACTACAACGTCTGTAAGACCAAATCTACTGTGTTGAAAGTAAAACTAAGTTTAAAGAAGACTCGGGACATTGACGACAAGCTTCAACACATGCATGTTGATAGTGATAAAGAAAAGAAGACAGAAGCAGAAAAGTGTTGGTCCGACAGTACCGAAAGCAAGAACATGAGTTGTGTCACGGGATCGGCACCCAAGAATTCTCCTGGATGTTTAAGGAAGATGAACGAGGATATCAACCGCGTAGATGAAAGCCAAGATTGTTCCTCACAGAAGATCAAAAGGAGGCTTGAGGGAGGAGGGCAGTTACAGAAACAGAGAAACTGCAGTGCTATTACAAGACCAAATCAGAAAACAACACAAAGCTCTACAGTTGGAAGACCAAATCAGAAAACAACACAAAGCTCTACAGTTGGAAGACCAACGCAAAAACCAGCCCTAAGATCCACAGTTGGAAGACCAAATCAGAAAACAACACAAAGCTCTACAGTTGCAAGACCAACGCAAAAACCAGCACAAAGCTCTACAGTTGAAATGGAAAAAACAACACACAGCTCTGCAGTTGCAAGACCAATGCAAAAACCAGCACAAAGCTCTACAGTTGCGACACCAATGCAAAAACCAGCACAAAGCTCTACAGTTGCGACACCAATGCAAAAACCAACACAATCCGGAATGAAATTTGAATCAAGTAAAAGAAAATTTGAGGAAAGGGTTGCTGAGCAAAAAAATGCCAAGAGAAGGATCATAATGGTGGACTTTCATGATATGCCTAAACCAGCCAAAGATCCTTCTGCTCCCAAACGCTGCTGGGATAGTAGGAGGAGGTTTTGAGATTCTGATTCCATTTGTTGTAAATTCCACGAGAATATTAGTTTTTTCCTTTTTGACATGTAATTCTAGAGAGTATCATCACTCAGGTTCATTTTTTATTGATGATCTTTTATTCTGAAATAGAAAAGATCCAATCATAAAAAAGAAATATATATATATATATGTGTGTGTGTGTGTGTGTGTGTGCCTTTATGTGGTTCCTCATGTGTATTTTGCCTCCAAAGAGGTCTTCTCCTACTTTTCTGCCTCTTTCATTTGTATCAATACTTTAATTACTTTGCCTTTTAAAATATCATTCTGTATTGACAACTTAGAGTTGCTTTATTGTCTTTAAACTCTTAATTGAGCTCTTGTTTTCCCGTTGTCCTTGCAAAGGGTGTATGCAGCTATTAGAATGGAAAATGTAGTCTTTGGTCTAACTATCTTCATACCTATTTAAGATTTGATAAAAATTCATGTAGTTGCAATTACAGGGTGAGGTTGACAACCCTTCAAAATTTAGCATCTGTATGCATTGGTTTTTTAATTACTGTTGTATTTAGTATTTAAACAACGAAAGTAGATTTCATACCTCCGAAAGCAGATTGGTTTCCAGCTTGGCAAATATTAAAAGCTCAAGGAGATGTTTAACATGCATAATCATTTGGGAAAGTTTAGATTACATTTTCAATTACTAGTTGCATTTAATCTAGTTTATATAGCATCAATGTTAATCATAAGTACTTGTTGAAGATGCCTTCAAGTTAATAGTATAGTTGTTCCCTTTAGGTCTGAGCCATGAGATGGAACAACAACAACAACAACAAAACCCAGTAGTTTCCTGGAAACTACTGGGTTTGTTGTTGTTGTTCCGTCAATGCAGAACCAAGGAGAAGGCCTCCTAAGAAAAACACAGAAACTTCACATGCAGCGCAGTATATTTCCAAACTGTAGGGCAACATTGGTCTCCTAATTGTGCAACACTAACCGTAGAAAAATAAAACTGCACTTTCAAGATGTCCGAGAAAAAGAGCTCCTTAAACATGTACTTTAACATATATCTCAAATTTATTGGGGCCAAAACAAGTGAACAACATGGAATACAAAACTTTGTAGAATCCCCAACTCTAGTAAATAGATCTTATCAAGCACATTATGGAGATACAATAGTGACTTGAGGAATAATATGTATGATGTAACTTTTCCAATTTAGATTTGAGTGAACCTTCCTGCATTAAGCCACAAATCAAGATAATTAAATATCAGATTCCAACGAAAGAGCAATAACAAATGGTTTACTAGTACTAGACATACCAACTGATTTGTAGGTTCTACATCTGTTAAATGACAGTTTGCAGGGTTCATAGAAGTACATTTTAGACATTTTTGTTAAATATATTTTGTTACCGTAAGTGAAGTAACACTACCAAAAATGAACTTATTTTGGATCAACCGATTAAGGATATGTATTCCGGACCATTATAGTCGTTTATTGCAAGTAAGTAGAGCAAAAATGCTGTGTTATGTTTGTAACCTAAAGAATACTCGGACAATCCAAACTGCAAGCATGGCTCTGACAGTTGTTCTCCATTGAGAAGTTGCTACTATTAGTAGTATATTACTGCCATTTTGAAGAAGCATTGTTTTTTCGCCATAAGATCAATATCATTCAACTAAGTCAAGCTAGTCGAGCTGCATGATTACTAAAACATCAGGAGAGTCAACGAACGGATTTTACTTCCACTGCAGAAAATCCAAGAAAACTGACCTATATAAGCAACAAAAAGCAAGAAAGTAAAGGGTCTTTCTAATCTGTAACTAGTAACTATCACATTCTTTTTTATAGCCGTATGTTCACAAACTCAATCAGCTCTAAGTTTAATTTTGATTTAGAAAGACTTTATAGTTGCAGGAGACGAGATGTCTGAAAGTAGAATGGTTCATCTCAGGTTAGAAATGAGAAAAGTAATACGCAAGGGTGATTTTGCTACTAAACTTACCGTCTGATTATTAACAAGCAAATGCAGAGGCTAGACACTTCTGATTCAACATAGCAAGGCCTTTTACGTCAAGAACTAGAATGCTGCTGTTGATCTCCTAATACCTGTACGTATGGCAATGGTAAGAAGTGAATTAGAGGACAAAAATGAAGCATTTTCAATATACAATCACTAAGCATCTATGTTTATAAGAGCTGCACTCCACAATATCAATATGCTAAAGCTGTCTGTAAGTACAGAAAAAAAAGATCCAAATCTCATTCTTCAATCTGGTCATGTAAATCTTGTTTTAGCTTTCAACCGTTGACATTTTTAAGTCGCAAGGAGGATTGGTGAATAAATAAAAAAGGGAAAGTCATGTATAAGAAAACAGAAGTATTGGAACAAACAAAGCAGCTTCCCATTATAGATGTAAGAAAGGCAAAATCTTCTTAACTTAAACTGTTTTTGAAATTCACCACACACAAGCAAGCAGACAGAGGGACATTCATATATATAGCAGGATATTCATGGAAACTTAAAATTAAAGCAAAATGAAACAGATTTTACCAACTTCAGAGACTAACAACTCAACACTTCACATATGGTCATTGTTCAAGATAATGAGATTTACACCAATGACCCTAATATCCCATCACATTCTCCCAAACAAACCCAAGCTCTACAATTTGCTAATTTGGACTTTGTCCAAATTGACTTATTAATGAATATATACCTAGTTTATACTGCAAAAAATTGAATAAGTAGAACAAGTTACAATAGCGCAGTCGCCAGTCAGTTTAAATACTACAGTTGCAGCACCATGTTACCGAAAGTTAACATCAAAACAGCTACCACTTCAACTTGCAACGGGTTTAAGTAAAATAACAATCTACATCAACCCAGCCCAACGAATAATAGTGTCCATTAAGAAAATCAAATTTTGATTAACAGACCAAAATAAAGTTCAATTTCAGAATGGTGGTGCTAAGAAATGAAAAATTTAGTCACTATTGAATTAAGAGTACCTCTAATATTAGGCACTTCAGAGTAATGGGGTTCCATATTCCTACATAAGAATTTCTTTTTGGTTTATTTCCCATATATTGCATTACATAATTATCAAGTCCTAGTAGTTCTTTCTCACAGTACGTGGGGATCTAAATGATTTTATAGCTACCCTAAATAACAATATACAAGGCAAGAACTAGCAATCTAGATGTCAAGTATTGAAATTTTAGGCAAAAAAGTAAAAATAAAAAGGGAGACTTTTATGAAAGACCTGCCTCTGAAGTATCACTACGACACGCCCAAAAACAAATAGTTCTCCGATTTTAAATTATTTGCAAAATTCACACCAATTCGTATGAGAAGCACCTTTGATTGAAACAAAATGAACTACAGATTTCATTAATAAGATGCTAATAAACCAGAGGTTTTACATATAGTTTGACTGAATAAGTCATTTGATTTACATCACTAACCCTAACATCCAACAAAAGGCAGAAAACCAAAACCCTAAATCAGAGAACACGAATTCACCATAACCATAAGCACAACAAAGCATCTTCCTAAGCCCTTTCTCCACGAATCCTCCTAGCGAGCTGAATGTCCTTTGGCATTATGGTGACCCTCTTAGCGTGAATGGCGCAGAGATTGGTGTCTTCGAAGAGCCCAACTAGGTAAGCTTCGGCTGCCTCTTGAAGAGCAGCAACAGCACTGCTCTGGAACCTCAGATCTGTCTTGAAATCCTGAGCTATTTCCCTCACCAGCCTCTGAAATGGCAGCTTCCTTATCAACAACTCAGTAGATTTCTGGTACTTCCTGATTTCCCTGAGAGCCACAGTTCCTGGGCGGAAACGGTGAGGCTTCTTCACACCTCCGGTAGCCGGAGCTGACTTTCTCGCAGCCTTGGTAGCTAGCTGCTTCCTTGGAGCCTTTCCACCAGTGGATTTGCGAGCAGTTTGCTTGGTACGAGCCATTTCAAATGTATGATAACAATATGAAAGACTTTGCAGATCCGGAAATGCTTTGATTGTTCAATAGTAGTGGTGAATTTGAGAGATGTGTAACGGGGAAGTTATATAGGAGGGAAATGGGGCGGGAATTTTGGAAAATTTTGAAACTTTTTGGCGTTGAGGGGATTGAGAGTGAATGAAGACAGTTGATTGGTTGAGATTTTGCGTCAACGGTGGAGATTGGAGAAGAGGTGATAGCTCGGGTAGTAATCTATGTTGTAACTAAGAAATCTAGACCTCAAATAATAGTACAGAAATGTATATCTATTAGAAACACTAGTTAACATCCTATACAATTAAAATATTTATTTTATCCTATATACTTACTTTACAAACTTATTTTACCCTGTATAAGTGTATCCACATCTTTCCCCTCCCTTCAAGAACGCAGAGACACTGTTTTCGATAGACCCACAGCTTAGGAAAGGTAAAAGGAAAGGCAACAACAAGCACACTAATCAGAAAGTCGAAGAAAAAAAAATACAAAACTAACACTAGGTACTGCAATCACCAAGTTGAAACGAAAGCAACAAGTAATAATCGAAGTCAAGGAATACGAAAATACACAAATGACACTAAGTCATGCATTAAAGTTACTGTTATAGACAAGGACAACGCTACACTATTGTTTGCAATAAATTTTCAAGATATGAAAAATAAAATACAATCACAAAATAAGAGAAAATATTTTTACTAATCAATTGTGAGTACAATTCTGTTTCCTTGATCTCTAGCTTCTTGAACTATTTAATTGTCAAGAAGTATCCGGCCATATTTTGATCTCTTTGTGAATATCCCAAGAGGTTATGAAATTTTTGAGACGCCTCTTCAAGAGAATATATATCCCTTTATATAGGTGTGAGTAGGGTTTAGGGTAGAATAACCTCCAAGCAACCCTAATATCTTGAATTTAAAATTTTGCTTGATCCGCTAAAATTTTCTACTTCAAGTTATGGCATGGTGCAGACTTTTCGAACCTTGAAGACATGTCTTGGAGTATCCGTGACCCGGAAGACGATGCACGATTTTTGTTGGCCTTCCATGTAATCCAAATCGTTGCTGGCACATGTGGCTTGCCTTTACTTTCTTCAAATGTAGCTTGAGTAAAAAGAAAATATATTCTTCAAGTCGTGTATGATTACTCGACAAATATCCTTATTATCCAAATAGTAGGCTTTAAATAATATCTAGCAAGAGGCATCATATTCCAAAGTTTAGTGCCTAAATTTGACTAAAACAAAAGACTTGCATGAATTTTGTGTTACTGTATAAGGTCATACAATAATGCTTTTTGCAAATAAGTCCAAAGAGCCACAAAAACAGTGTAGGATATTCCACGTAGACAATGAGACTTTAATTCCCCAATTGTATTGAAATTGGTGTTTCAACGGATAAAGATTTCCAGCTGAATTAGCATTCTTCACACGCTGCTAGAAAACTGTCTAAAATCGTTCAAAAATACCGACCGAAATCGATGAAAAACTAAAAAAAAATGACTGATTTGCGACCGACTTTAATTAGTCGAAATTAGGTTAATCAGTCAAAAATAATGACCGATCGGTCGGTAAATTAATTTAACGACCCAAAAAAGAAAAAATCTAGCGAAAAACCGACCGAAGTCAGTCGGTATTTTTAATTATGCAATTAAAAAATGCACCATCTGGGACTCGAACCAGGGTCTGTACTATCGCAGGATACTATTCTACCACTAGACTATTGTTACATTTTGATTTAAGACTTTCTTTTAATTTATTTGTACTCTTTAATTGCATTTTCGCGCGAAAATAACCGACCGATTTCAATCGATTTTATTAAAAATATAAAATTAACGACCGGCTTCAGTCGGTTTTTTTAAATAGACTGACTGGAATAACCGACCGATTTAGGTCGATTTTTATATTAGTTTTAATTTACTTTATATGAAAAATCGATCGATTTCGGTCGGTTTCTTAAAAAGTAAATATCGCGGGATGCTAAAATAGTTTCCCGTATTTTTGCGCCAAAAAAATCGATCGAAGTCGGTCGTTTCGTAAAAAAATAAATTAAAAAATAAAATATTTTGAAAAATTGACCGACTTCGATCGATTGTTCGATCGATTTTTTGACCGACCGAAGTTGATCGGTTTGTCGCGATCGATTTTGGCTGAATTTATAGTTGTGACATGATCACATCTATTCACGCAAACTCCATCTAGGTCTTTAAGTGCTTAACTGACTCATCCCTCTATAAAAGTTGCTCACGTTGTGATAATTTATGTAAGACTTTTCAACATCTCAAGAGGGTACGAGACATGGGTCATGCCTTTGTCTACTTCAAGAAAGTGCGGCCACGATCATTTCAAATGGGAGACTTGGTCCTAGTTGTTCGAAGACCCATAATCCTCAACAAATGAATGAGCAATAAGTTTACTTCAAAATGAGATAGTCCATATGATGTGAAGGAAGCCTATTCAAGTATACAAAATCGTTGATCAGGATGGTCTCAGAGTTTGTCTAATCAACATCAAATTTCTGAAGCAGTACTTCCCATGAAAGTCACATATGCTCCTCGGTGCACGAACCTAAACTGCAAGTCATGATGCTCCTTGACGCATGAGCCTAAACTGCAAGTCATGATGCTCCTCGATGCACAAGCCTAAACTGCAAGTCATGATGCTCATTGACGCATGAGCCTAAACTGCACTTTGCTATGCTCCTCAACGCACAAGCCTAAATTTCAAGTCATGACGCTCCTTGACACATGAGCCTAAAATGCACGTTGTTGCACTCCTTGATGTATGAGCCTAAGCTGCATGTTGCTACACTCCTGTCCTGCATGAGTCTAAACTCTGTACGGGCATAAAAAAAAAGAGTTTGCTAGGTTGAAAACCTCGAAAGAGGTGACATAGGAAAAAGTTAAAACCAAAAAAAGTCCGCTAGGTTGAAAACCTCGCGAGAGACAGCCTAAACAAAAATTAGGACATTAAAATAATAAAAATAAAACTCATCCCTCTGAACTACGTTAAGACTTGATCTTCTTCACCGAGGTACGTAGGCAGCTTAGAATTCATTCTAAGTTCAGTCACATGAGTTTTACAAAAAAAGGTTTGGCTTATGGAATCATCACATTAACTCTTTTAAGTATAGAGGGCGTATATAAATACGAGAAAGAAAACGATTTGCATTGAAGTGTAAACGATATTTTATTGCTTCAATATGACAAAAGTTGATACATCCAAAAATGTGGAGACGATAGAAATTAAACATTATCCTATACAAAGCCTAAGTAATGAAAATGATCGTAAACTAGGCTTTGTTGCTGACGCGTCCTAAATGCTTTTCCATGTCTGTATGATGTCTCCACATTTAATGACATTCTCGATGTATGTCTCTCGCATTCAGTAGTTCTGATGATCTCTTGACCATGTGTCTTGTTGTTAGTCCTCAAGCATGATAGTTGCTTCTCTTGTGCAAGTGTTGGTTGAAGGTCCCATATGTGAGGAGTCGTCTTTCTTGGAAAAAAAAACTTTCAATATCACTATGGAGCTGCCAATGATGAACTCCAAGAACATCAACAAATCAAGTTCAACAGTTGATGAAAGAGTGGCTTCGCATGACGATCTACTACAATAATTCTTTTTTTCTTATAAAGAGTTTTCTTGCGGCCTGCAAAAGGAATAAACAAGGGATAAGATTTGTGGAGCATGGTACTTGAAGTTACTATATGCAAGAATGTAGAGTGGCAAGAGTGGCAAGTTACTATTACTCAATAAGTAATAAGTCTAACATTAGGTTGAAAGTAGTGACGAGTTGTAACAAGGTCGGGTCTGATCGGGTCAACCCTACACCACTACAGAGTGGCAAGAGTGATCGATGAAGCTTTTACCCGAGAAGGTCGGGATCGAATCCACAGGGAGCTAATACAATGTTTGGAGTTGGATTCCTATCTAAACTAGCAGTGTGTAGTGCTCTTGATTACACTTCCAATCATGTTTGTTTGTTTGTTTGTTTGTTACTTCTAATTTTATACTAATAATGTGAGAAATTAAGCTAAGTATATATGTTTGTAGGGTTTTCTAAATGGGTAAAGAGGCACTAGGGAAGTGACTTACTCCTAGTTGAGTATCTAACAGGATCTAGAACTTAGGGCAATAATATTATAGTTGGGATCATGTTATATCCAATGCACGGATCTACTCACTCTACACCTCTCGGTAGTAAGAGTGACCTTGCCCTAATTGGCTTTCTCAAGCCCAATTGGGTGTTCAAATTGTGCAAGCAATGTTGGCTCAAGTCGGGTATTACTATCTCTCGGTTTAACCCTTTAATTGGGGCTATCAATCTCTTGAATACACTCCAATTCATTGTTAGCCTGAAATACCTAGACTTAGTCTCTCTTTCTCAAAAAGAGCCTAAGTCAAAAAGGCACAAATTAGTGTTTGCAACCATTAATTCAACATAGAAATCATAAATTAGGCCAAATAACAATCACCCATAAACATCTAAGCCCTAAAATAAAAGACCCATTAAATACCCGCACTAAGGTTGAGACACAACCCTAGCTAATGGGTTTAGCTACTCATAATTGAAGAAGAAATCATAGATTAAGATGATAATTATAAGATAAGATACTAAGATTAATTGCTAAGTAAGCTACAAAAGTACTCAAAATGGGAAAAAGTCATCGTTCACGTGCTCACTACTGATCAGATGACCTAAAAATCTGAAAAGAAAGTATTTATACACAGCTAAATTTTCCGGACAAAAATGCCCCTGACAGAGGTACCGCTAACAGCGAAAAATGGACCGTTGCAGCGGTAAGGCAACCGCGGACCGCGGTCTTCAGCTTTTGCTCAAACTCCAGGTTCTCTGAATCTCTCCTCTGCGGGCCCCAATAAAAGGACCGCTGTCGCGGTAGGGGTACTACGGTCGCATAAAATCATCGCAGACCGCGGTAACTTGAAATGTCTCATCTGGTATCTCTCTAAACCTTGCCACCGCGGATCACAATAAAAGGACCGCAATCGCGGTGAGTCTTCTGCGGCCGAGGTGGATTTTCCGCTGTAGCACTGCTTTGACTTGGTTTTGAACTTGTGTAGGTTTCACACCGTTTTGAGCTGGTTATGACATCCTTGTCTCCT